TTAAAAAATGGGCATCTGAGATGAATAAACACTTCCCTGATAAAAAAATACAAATGGCAAATAAATATATGAAAAAATGTTCAACATCATTGGTCCTTTGATAGATGCAAATTAAAACTGAGATTCCATCTCACTACAGAAAGAATGGCTATCATTAAGAAATCAACCAATAACAAATGCTGGTGTTGCTCTGGGCAAGAAGGAACCTTCTCCACGGTTGGTGGTAGAGTGAGCTGCTGAAGCTGAAAATACTTTGGTCCTGAGAAAAACATCCTGCCTGAGACAATTCCAGTCACTAGTAATGAGGCACTCCTGGGTCTCGCAATCCTAACCTTGTCAAAAGTATAAATAAACAGGCCTACTGTTGTTCGGTTCTTTTCCTCCCCTCAAGAAAGAGAGAGAGCTCCACCTGACCTCAGCTTAGTCTCTTGTTTATAATTTTCTCATCCTGCTGCCATTTTTCCCCTGGACCATTGATAGCTGTGTAGGTCTGGACAGGTGGGAGTGTAGACTGGTGCAATTACTGTGGAAATTAGTGTGGTGATTCCTAAAAAAACTGGGATGAGAGGTCCCAGTGGATCCAGTTATTCCCAATTTGGGTATCTTCCTGGAAGAATTAAAAACATCATACCACAGTGATGTATGTGTACCCTTGTCTATAGCAGCACAGTTTATAAGAGCTAAATCTTGGAAACTATCCAATTGTCCATCAGCTGAGGAACAGATACAAAAAATGTGATATTTTTATTCAATGGAGTACTGCTCAGACATGAAGAAAGATAAACTTGAGACTTTTATAGGTAAATAGTTAATTGTTGAGACCATACTCATAAGTGGAATAAATCAGACTCAGATATATAAACATCATATTGTCTCCCTGGCATGAGAAACTCCAAGAATAATTAAGGTGTACAATAGATATTGTACAATAGATAATGCACAATATTTATTGTGAAATGGGAAGAAATTTTCCAAAAGGGAAAAGGAACTAGCATGTGGTTGAGGGCAAAGGATAGAAAAGAAAAAAGGGAAAAAATATAAGTCAGTTATACTACTAGTGTCTCTTTGTTCATTGAAAAGGAAGGTTTGCACTAATATTTCTTGAAGAAATTTTTTTGTGCATACTTGTATGCTGAGAAGTACTTTACAGATAACAACATACACTGAATTATCTATTATTATTTTCCTATGATTCTGTTATGAAATTTTGTCTTACTTTTTGCCATAAAATAAAATAAATTTTAAAAATCTGACTTTTGCTAGTAACTCTGATTTGTACAAAAACATTGATCTTTAGTTGTTTTATATTTTGGCTATGCATTATTCGAAGAATCACATGTTTTTGTGTATTTGTGCGTGCGTGTGTGTGTGTGTGTGTGTGTGTGTGTTGTCAGTACTTGTATTCAGAAGTCAGGTTGAGAGCAGAATTCTGGGCTTGAGATGTCAGAGTAGAGACAGTGCAGTTGCTGGAATGTACAGAACGGCTGTGTGCTGTTACTGCCTGAGGACGAGGTGGGTGTGAGGTGCAGTTAAAATGATGGGAAGAGCACTGGGAATGGAGCTTGATGAAGAAAGCAAATGGTCTTGCACCACCATGTTCCTTGTGGGGCCTATTTCCACAAGTAGAATGGGAATAATGGTCCACATGAGGCATCAACTTGTCCAGACATTCGCTACTGTGAGGCACTGGATCCTCTTGTGTGGTAGTTAAACTGGAAAATAGGATGGTGGATAAAATATTTCACTATGTTTGAAAGAAGCAACCTGAGAAGTAATCTTCTTAGGAATCTGCAGTGCACAAGAATGACCAGTAGGGAGCAGCAGAGCACATTTCTTTATCAAAATTACCGTAAACATCTTCCGCCTGCCTGTGTAAATCTCTGATCCAGGGGAGAAAAAGTGTAAGTTGGGGGTCTACAGTATTTTCTATTGGCCCTCTATAGTTTTGAGCAACTTTTTGGGGTTTTACATTTTCTTGTATGGATTTCATTTTTAGTAGCTGTGGTCAGTGGGCAGGTTGAGAACAGAATAATAAGCTTGTGATATCAGAGTACAAGTGTGGGGGGGTTGTTCCAAAGTATGGAATAGTTTCTGTGCTGTGATGGGGTGATTGTGAAGATGGGTTCGAATTAAGGGAAGAAAAGTGGGAGTCAAGCTTGATGAACTAAGCAAATGGCCTTGCACAACGTGTTCCAAGGAAATAATTGTCCACAAGAGGCGTCAAGGTCTTCATAGCTTCAATACCCTGAGATATTACAAGCAGACTTGCACTTGTTAAATCAGATCACAGGGTAGCAGAAAATGCTTCCTCTTCAGGAAGTGTACTTCACTTCCTGTTAGTTGCCAGGCAACCGTTCCAGGTCCAGTTTCTGTTACTTCTGTTTCTTAGAAATGACTGGTCACTAAGATGCATATTGTAAGAATGATTCAAAGATCGCCAAGTCCTTTACCTCCGTACTTCCCCTTTACAGCCCCAGGAAACCCTCCATCCCTGAGTCTTCAGGGCCTACAACTTTATAAGGTTTGATTCTTTGTCAGTTCGCATCAAGATAACTAAATCTGCCTCCAAATCCTGAGTGTCATCTTGGAGTTTCTGTTTGCTGTAGCAATAGCACGATAGAACAAAATGTTTCCAGATATTTGAAAACCCCATGTTAAGAGCAATTCTTGGAACTTGCCTTTCACAGAACTCACAGATGGCAATAGTGGCCATCTCTGTATAAATGTGATCTTTGAACTCTTGCCCCTGCCCAGAAAGAGCTGTGATCTTGTAAGAGACACGATGTTTGGGCCACTTATAACAACCAGCCCTAAAGGACTTGTTTAGGATCATTCAACAGTTTCATTTTACATTGTGAAAGAAAAAGAGAATCTTCAAACATTGTCTTGGCTCTAAGATCTCCTTTTCTCTCCCTTTATCTGTGTGTCTGTCTCTCCTCTGTCTCTGTCTCTTTCTCTTTCTGTCTCTGTCTCTGTCTCTCCCTCCCTGTCTCCCTCTCCATCTTCCTCTCTCCGTCTTCTTCCACAGGTAATTCCTACTCCGCAGCTTCCAGTGCTGGTTTCTCCTTATGTTTTGACTTGTGTGAGTTGGCAGGGATCCGTCAGCCCTCTCCTACTTACACTCACTTCCTGGTGATCTCACCTCCAGCCCTGTGTTTGATCCCTCAGTTCAGATTGCTTCCAAAAGCTCCAGAATCCCTTGTGTTCCAGTGCCTCAGGGACAGTTGTTGGTTGGAGGTCTGGTGTCATCTCAAAGTTTGAAATATGTCCCACTGTAGGTCCTTATTTCTTTTTCTTTTTTTGAACTAAGTTAAACTTTTTCATTTTAAGGATAAAGGATAGAAAATATATTAACAAGCACACATACATTTAAAAAATAACATAAGAACAATAGAAGCAATACAGAATTTCAGACAAGTTGATAGGAAATTAACAATGGTTGTTGTATACATATCGATATCTTCACACTGATTGCTCAGATAAACAAATATAGACATGTAAGGTTAATCAAAATATTAAACATTAACTGTTCCTTTCAATAAAGCAATAGAAATCAGTAGCACAACTATCTCAGCTATCCTGTGTATACATATATACATATTTTCCCTTCTTCTTTTCTTTTCTCTTTTTCCTCATCCCAGTTGTTCTTTTCTTTTGAGAAGTTTCCTTCCCTTTCACAATATCCATTGAACCTCCTAGATTTTGTTGACTCTTTCAGGTTCTTCCACTAGTGAGACAATATGGTGTGCAGGTCCTTATTTCTACCTGCCTCGCAATATTGCTTCTGTCTGCCTTCCCATCTAAAGAGACATCACTGCAAATTCTCTGGTGGCTCATTTGCAATCATAAGGCAGTCTGTGATTTTATATCTCTGTCTCAGCTCATGTCCTATATGTCAGCAAACACATTTGTTTTGACTTTAAAATATGACCAGAACCTTCCCACCTTGCAAAACAGCTACTGGGAGGCCTGGAAAATAAGCATATACTGATATGAATAATAGTAGGGGAGAAACTTTTTAATGTTTACTTTGTAAGCTGTCCTAAAGGTCATGAATCATAAACAGATATCAACTGTCCCTATTATTAAACTCTTCATTTTTTCTACCCTACATTTAACTTTGAGGATAATAGTGGTTATGGAGGATTTTTACAAAATGAAGAAATAGAGCTTATTGAGATTTACCAACCATAATAAGGATGAGTTTCTGTGTGAGGTACACGCCTTAATCTAGGAAATATTTGGTCAGGACCTCTTATTAGCCTGTAAAGTGCTTGGAAAGAAACATCCTTGTAGAGACTAAAACCTCATATGACTTCTTGAGTAGTAATGGAGGACAGAGGCAAAAATTGCTCATAAAACTCATGTGCAAATGCTAGTAATTGCTGTGAGAAATTTTCTGAGAAATTGTTTGTCCCCTTTGTATGGAAGCTATATTCCTGGATATGACCCAGTGAGGATCCTTCAACTTCTCTCAGGTCACCTCAGCATAGGATGAGGCAGAGTCACAACATGGATTCTCATCTTGCCTTGCTGCATGGACCAGAGAGATGGGACCTGACTGAAGATTCTTTAGGCCCGGATCTGTACTCATCTTTTTCTTTCTTTTTTTTTTTTTTTTGGTTTTGGTTTTTCTCTGGTACCGGGAACCGAACTCACGACCTTGCACTTGCCAGGCAGGTGCTTTGCCGCTGAGCTAAATCCCCAGCCCCTGTACTCATCAAGGGGTCAGCAAGACTAAGAGCACTGCATGATGCACCGCTTCCCGATGGCCTATGGAGTCTCACAAAGCCCAGCCTTGCAAGCCCAGAAGTGATCTCTTCCCCTCTGCCCTCCTGAGGTGGGGCAGCTCTCCAGGAGCAGCAGATAGGCTGAGAGGACAATGCATGGTCACCATATCCCCACTGGATTGTGACATGATATAGGGAATTGCAAGATAAAGTGCACATCTTACATGTTATTTCTATCTTGTTAATCATTTCAGACTAAATTCATGGTTGTGTATTTGATTTAGTTTTATTTATTTTCATAAAGACACAGAATTTTCAAGGTCAAAAGAACTGCTGGAAGTCAGCTCTGTTCTTGCTCTGTGTCCCGTCCTCACCAGAGCTCAGGTCCATGCAGCCCTGTTCTCCTCACTCTCTGTCCTCAGCAGAGGCCTCAGCTGCAGCTTGTTGTTCTGAGTTCTTCAGCCTCTTCCTCTCACGCAGAACAGACTGCTTTGCTGCTCCCCAGACAGCAGCGCACGAGGGCAGCTGGGCCTCCCCAGGCAGGGAGGTTTGTGTTCGGGGCTGTGTCACTGTGGGAGGAGCATATAAACCTTGCAAACAGTAATAAACTCCGGCGTCCTCAGCCTCCACCCTGCTGATGGTGAGTGTGAACTCTGTCCCTGACCCGCTGCCACTGAACCTGTCTGAGACGCCAGAAATCAGGTTGGAAACCTGGTATATCATACCCTGTGGAGCCTGGCCTGGCTTCTGTACCACCCAATGCAAATAGGTGTTTCCATTGCTATGTAGGAGGCTCTGACTGGACCTGCAGGAGATGGAGGCCGTCTTTCCAGGGCTGATGGACAGAGAGAGTGGGGTCTGGGTCATCACAATATCTCCTGTGGATCCTAAAATGATGAATGAGAAGTGTGAGAGCACGTACAAACACAATGAGCCATTTTCATAGTTTTCTCTTTCTTATAATTATTAAGCTAAATTTTAGAATATTTTCATATACAATTTAAAATTTCAATTTTGTGATGGCTCCCAAGATTTCTAGTGAGAAGGGACCCTCTAGAATTCACCTGACCATCCCTCTCTTTGTTGGTAGCAGTCTTCATGAGAGGTCAGGTCCCTTCTCCTTTAGGAATTTTCTTCACGCACTGATCTCACCTCACTCACCCGTGCTTCACGACAGCACTGCACATCTCACATATGTACAGGGCTCATCCCAGCAGAAGTGGGACCCCGGAACTCACTCTCTCACCCTATGCCCCTCCTCATCTCCCTGTGTCCTTACCAGTGATCCAGAGCAGGAGCAGCCCCAGGAGCTGAAGAGGGAGCCTCATTTCGAGAAACTGAACTGAAGAGTTCTGATCAGTGAGGACAAAATTAGAGCCAGCTTTTATCTCACACGTGCTTGGGAAGGTCCTCCCTGGGGGACAAAATGCAAATTCCCCGGTGGGTGCGGTGGTGCAGAAAGAGTGAGGAGTGTGGCAGAAGCTTCTCACGTGAGCCCCGTGGTATAAAATATCCTCTGTGTTTGGAGGAAAAGCGATAGAGCTCCATCCATGCTGCCTGCAGCAGTGGGTCAGAGGATCTCTTGGAAAATCTGGGTCTGCAGCAGGGACACGGTGCTCATGGCCCCGCCCATCCAAGACAGGACTAGAGTCCCTAGCATATGGGGGAGTGTGTCCAGGTTCATCTCTGGGAGGGGAAGTCTCATGTCTCTTAGCTTCTTTGAAGAGAAAGAAGCAATTCTCACTTCATGACTCCTCGTTCTTAGCATTTTCTACCCTTCACAGCATGTAGCAGAGCAGTGAAGCCCTTCTGCTGTGACCAGGTGAACTCTCACCATTCAGAAACAAGATTGGAAAAAATCTTTTCCACGATCTTGAAATTAAATAACATAAGAGCACTAAAATGAAAAGAATATTGTATAGAGAACAAAATCTGTGTTCCAGCTGGAGTGTGGTAACTCTGTTCAAGGCTAGAGGAAAAGGAAGAGATATCTGTCTTATGTAATGTATATGACATTCCTTGTAAGTATGTTTTGAATTTGGTAAATACAAAAAATACATAAAATATATATTATATACATGACATATATGTGACTCACCCACCAGATTTATCAAAATTTTTCTTAAGGAAAGATTGCTCTTATTTCTATGCAAAATGAATGAGGAATCATTTTATGCTACTCTATTGTGAATCATCATAAATCATTCATTTCATATCTAGTCTTTCTTACAATAGCGATTACATGGCCATGGTCCATAATTTAAAGAGATAGTCTAAATATTAGAATATCATGATTGAATCTGGTCTTTTAATGTCTCAGGGTAATTTGAAGCACTGAGTGACATTGTTCTGGGTTTTATCTAAGATGGGCACTATGGAAAAGGGATCAGTTTTAGAGTTTCTCCAAATCTGTGCAAAAATGAACCATCATATTATCAGTCTATCCGTTTGTAGTATTTTTATGACAGCCCGAAAGGTACAGTGCACCACTTATGCATTTTGGAAAATGTGTTTGCAGAAAAATATGTAAATAACTATTCTGTAATGAGCACTTTAATTATATGTAAAAGATTCCTTGGATGTGCTGATCATCTTTGTGTGTGTGTGTGTGTGTGTGTGTGTGTGTGTGTGTGTCTATTGGGGATCAAAACTAAGATATTCACACTGAGCTGCATCACCATTCTTTTTATTGTTTTGAATTTGAGAGAAAGTCTCACTGTGTTGTCAAGATTGGGTGCAGATTTGGCTCCAATTTTCAATTCTGCTGCCTCGACCTCCAGCACGCTGGGGTTACAGCTGTGCACCATCAGTCTTGGGTGACTTTATTTCTGACTTTGTGTTCTTTCCAAACACTTCAAGAGGTTGAAAAGTTTACTTACTGATCTAGTGTGAACTCTGAAGGCCCTGTCCTTTATCTGTCTCACACAAATCAGCAGTAGTAAATGAAATGAAAGAAAATAAATTTCAGCTCATTGGAGCCATCAGAAACAAAGTTCTAAAATTTAACAAAGATGGAGAGGATTCCCCGAGCTGTTAGCATCAGACTTGGGCACATTTAGTTAGCTTTCATATTCTTGTCCTTGGAAATTGGGAAGTTTTCCAAGCCATGTGCAGTTTGGCTGTCTTATATTAAAGCACCTCAGCATCCTAGGTCGTTACATTAGATTATAAGAATTTATGTTAATAATTCACACCTAAGTGAACAATTGTAGTATGTAATCCACTGAAAGAAATATAAAAGGTGATACCACTTTGAAGAAATAAAATATGGAAACACAAACTGACTTGTCAAAAATATTTGTGACGACTCTAAAGACAATTTGGAGTGTGTATAAAATATACTGAGATGTCAATTTTATAAAGCTGACTAGTGATTTATTTTTTGTTTAATTTCCTTCACTTTTTACATAATATCAAGTTTATAATTCATTTCCTCAATATCCTTTCATAAGTACCAAATTTGAAGCCTGGGAAGAGCCCTTTGCTCTCTGATATTTTCATTTGTACTTAATCTATTTGATTTTTAATAGCAAGTATCTCTGACTTTGCTGTCTATGGCCCTTAAAATAGTATTTGTAAGCACTCTTGAGGATTTGCATGGTGGTGTCCTCTCCCAGACCGGTTTTCACTTGGGCATCTCTTCAGTGAGGCTCTCTTCAGCCAATTTTAAGGTTGGACATTCTCATTCTTGCTAAAGCAGATATTTCTTGAGAATAAATCTTTGGTGGTATTGGTCTTCACGCATTAATTTCAAGGAAATCTTGTTTGTTTTTTTTTCTATTTCTTCTTTTCCCAATGTACTAGAGCCCTCTTTTCACTTCAAGTAGATGTGGGGAGAGTATTTTCTATTAATTCTTTACTATACACTTCACTGAGAGAGAGATGTTTTGACCCAGCTTAATTTAGGGCCTCACAGGACCCCCAAAGAGCGAGTTCTGACCCAGGCTTGAGCTGTGCAGCCCAGGCACAGGTTGGAGACTGGAGCTCGATGTTGGCTATACTCTTCATCATTTCAGGAGCTCAGGCATATTTTGGTCAGAAAAATTTAAAAATGGATCCCAAATTTGTCTTTTGTTTGGTCTTCTTTGGTTTTCATTGTTTGGTCTTCTTTCCTCTCCCCTTTCTTGCATCCCCCTCCCTCCCTTTTTTCTTTGCTTGTCTTCTGGTTCCCCTTCATTAGTTCTCTCTTTTGCATGGTTTCCCCACCTTGTTTTATTATTTCATGGGGATTGTTGATCTGAGGTAGCTGGGGTGTCATTTCTGGAGAACCCCACCCATTTAAATATATATTTTACTTGAAGCTAAAGCATAACAGCTAGTAGTTGTCACTGGGAGTTTCTAAGTTGATCTTAGAGCTTCTAGTTTGACCTCTGTATCTGTTTTTTGTTATACAAATACATTTTTTGTCATGATATTTTTAGTCTTGATCTACATCAGCCACTTTCCCAATGCACTGCCCACTGGATTTGCTTCCTTATTGGCTGATTCCTTTTCATAGGAGCCTCAAGGCCCAGCAAATCTGCTCTGATGTAACAAACAGGGCCTTGCCATGGAAACTGTGCTCCACTGGGCAGCCAGATGCAGTGAGATGGTATCTCATGTGTAGGTCCTCACATTCCTGTTCCTCTGGGTCTGTGATGAGAAATTGATTTGCTGATCATTCTAAAGTTGAAAGAATTACATTAAGATGTTATGGGGAATAGCATCAACTTCCTATATGAACCCCACTATATATAGACTTAAATTCCCATTATAAAATGCAGTTAATGACAAATTTTCACACATATACGATGAGGTGTGTGCATGTATGTATGGTGAGTATGCCTTCTGGGTTGAGGGGTCTCTAGGGATCTGGTGATGACCCAGTCTGCATGCTCCCTGGTTATGTCTGCGGGAGAGGTGGTCAGCATGAATTGCAAGTCCAGCCAGGGTCTTCTGTAGACATTCAACCAGAGGAACTTCTCAGTCTGGTAGCAGCAGAAACCAGGACAGGCTGCTAAATGGCTCCTTTCCTGGGCATATGCCTGGGGAATCTGAGATCTCTGTCCAGCTCTGTGGCAATTAGTCTGGAAAAAGACTTCACTGTCTTCTCAGGCAGCCTGGAAGCTGAAGATGTGGCAAGTTACTACTGTCAGCAGGATTATAAACATCTTCTAACTGTGCTTCAGCCTGAGTCACAAAACTCCACTCAGGGTCTCACCCTGAGTAGAATTAGCTCACCTGGTAGCCCTGGACTTGCATGCTGTCTTTATTTATTGGCCTCCTGATGAGAAGGTTTGCAGGACTCAGCATAAAATTAAGATGGTGTCACTTAGGTCCTTCGAGAATTGCATTCCTTATAGGAAAACTCAGGGAGGACTTGTACATTAGTTTGCCATTTCTAGTGTAAAATGAACTGTTCACTTACTGGCTTGAACATGAGAAATTCATTCTTTATAGTCTGGTGGTCAAAGTCCAACACAGGACTCAATGGGTGAAGGTCAAGTTATTGCCAGGGTGCATCACCACCTGGACGCTCCTGCAAGGAATCCCTCACGTGTGGTTCCCTGCAAGGTTGCTGGTGGCTCCCTTTCCTCCATCTTCATTGCTAGCAATATTTCATCTCTCTGAACTTTCTTCACAATCATAGTGTCTTGGTAACTTTTCTCTTGTTGCTGGGACAGAATACCCAACACCCAGAATTAAGGAAAGAAAGGTTTATTTAGCTCACGGTTAATGGAGGTTTCAGTCCATGCTCAGCTGGCTCCAAGGCAGAGTGCCACATGGCTTAGGGAAACTCTTCATGGAGGTGGAAAACAGCAAAAGCAACCAGAGCATAAAGGGAGGAATGGGAGCAAGCAGCCTCTTCCTCTCCCTTACATATGCAAACTATCCGCTCTAGGGAGGGTGTGGCACTTACATCTATAACTCCAGAACTGGACTATGGATCAGACAAATATCAAGAAGCCCACCCCATGACTGCATGAGGATTTGGGGGGACATGTAGACACAAACCATAACAACACATGGTCTCTCTGAAGCCTCTTTCTCTGCTTTCCTAATGTTGACACTGTGTAACCTCCATCTGTACCAGTGATGGATGTGACTATGTACTGAACATCTTCCTTATAATCTTTCAGTCTCACTTAAGTAACAGAAAGCAATACGGGGAAGGGAATCTTTCTGCCCCTACAGTAAGAATTTTCTGGGCTGGGCATATAGCTCAGGGGCACGATGCCTGCCTACCAAGCAGAAGGTTGTGAGTTTGATTCCCACTACCACAAAAAAAAAAAAGAAGAAGAAAGAGTTTTCTACTTAATCCTATTCATATGTTCATTTTGAATTGGAACTGAGCACGTATTTTGGGACATAAACATAATGAAGAGAGTCTCCTATACCACAAATAGTTGTTGAGAAACTCTGTAGCACCTTAAA